TTATTGTCTACGTATGATAGTGAACGGTTGTTATTTCGTATCAGTGAAATTTTAGCTCGCTTATCTGGTTTTTAGACGTATGTGTAGTGTATTAATATATTTCGTATACTTACACAAACAAAATGTTGTGTTTAATTTGCAATGAACAAATTTTTGAAGGGGACGAAATTCAATGTTTTAATTGTAAAGAACATTTACATTTCACCTGTGCAGCTTTTAGAGAATCAGTCTTCAGAAAATTAAATAAAAAAGTAAAGTCTAACTGGTCTTGCTCTTCTTGTAAAACAAAAAAAAAATTCTGACTTAATCTGTAAATCACCTTCACAAGAAAATAGTGTAAACGAAATATCTGAAGAAACTTTACAAGGAGTGATTAATTCTGTTAATTTTATGAGCTCCCAATTTGATTCTTTTGGTAAACAATTAAAAGAWATAATTTTGTCGATTACTGGACTCAAAAATGAAAATAAACGTATCACAGAAGAAAACTTGAAGATCAAAAAGGAACTAAACACTATTTCCAACCGTGTAAACATTCTAGAACAAAAGGCATTAGAATGTCATATAGAAATTGTTGGTATACCGGAGTCTAAGAATGAAAATTATACTGACACTTTTGAAAAAATTAACACTAAACTGGGTACAAAAATTTCTGTCAATAATATTTACCGAATCCCATCTAAATTCTCCGACAAACCAAGGAAAATATCGGTTATCTTTAACTCATTAGCTGAGAAAAATGAATTCATGAAACAAGCCAAGAAAGAAAAATTKATTGCAAAAAACTTTKATGCATCATGGAACAACTCTCCTGTCTACTTTAATAATCTTATGACTTATTCAAACAAGACGCTCTTCTATAAAGCCAAAACTACTGCTAAACAGGTTGGATATAAATATGCTTGGTTTAATAATAATACAATTTTTGTTAAAAAAAACGATGAATCAAAAGTAATTACTATAGAGAATGAAGATTCTATTTTAAAGATTGTTTAGATTTATTTATACTCAAAACTATTTATCTTGTATTCCTTTTTTTATGTTTTATGTTTATTAATGACTATCTTAGAAGATATTATAAAATATAATAATTACAATACAAAATACTTTGAATGTATAACAGAATTTACAAATAATTTTAATTTAGATAATAAGAGGAATAACTTTTTATATATAATGTGTACCAATATTAGAAGTATCAAAGCTAATTTTGATGAACTTATCTTACTTTTTGAAAATGAACTGCTTTWWAAAAAAATAGATATCTTAATATTAACGGAAACTTGACATGATAATATGGCGAATTGTGTGTATAGTATACCTGGCTACAATACTTATTTCTCAACAGTTAAACGTAATCAAAATGATGGTCTATTTATTTTTGTTAATGAAAATCTTACATTTGATTTATTTGAATATGGTTTTGAAGAAAGCAACATTTTAAGATTAACTGTAAAGATTGAAAGTAAAAATACGTGCATTTACTGTGTATATAGGTCTCCCTCTAGCAATACTAATGATTTCTTAATTACATTGCGTAATATTTTCGTTAATGAGATTACGAATAATGAATGTTCTGTCTTCATAGGAGATATAAATATTGATATTATARGAAATGTAAATAATGATTATCTAGATATGATGGCTGAATTTGGTTTTAAATCATTTATTAACATATTTACTAGAGTTCAAGACATTGGTTCCCATTCGTGTTTGGATCACATCTTTATTAAAACAAATGAATCAAAATTAAACAAAACAAATTCTGGTGTAATTCAAACCCAAATAACAGATCATTTTTCTGTAATTACTACGATTCCAATGTTAAATTATGTTAAAAATAATAAAAAAAGTACCATTATAATAAACTCTATTAATTATGATCTCCTAGACACATTGTTAATTGATGAAAATTGGTCCTTTTTATATAAAAAATCAAATGTTAATGAATTAACTGAATTATTTTATAAAAAAATATTAAATGTTATTGAAAAATCCAGTAAATTAATACATATTAACTCAAAAAATATAAGATTAAAGGAATGGATGACAAAAGGTTTACTAATTTCCACACGTAAAAAGAATGAATTATCAAAAAAAASTAAAAAACATCCAGATAACACTAAACTAAAAAATTATTACAATAAATACAAAAATAAATTAACTTCACTCGTAAGAGCAGCGAAAATCTGTTTTTATAAAAAACAATTTTCTAAAACAATAAATGACCCTAAATTGACATAGAAACTTATTAATAAATTAACTGGGAAAAATAAAACCAATTCAAATGAAATTTTTAAAAATACCCTATTTACAAATGGTCAACATATAAATCCTCAAAAAGAACCTTTCAGAGCAGCCAATATATTAAATACATTTTTTACAGGTATAGGAGACAAATACACAAAAAATTTCAAAAAGATTTCTACCAAAGATAATAATATGTATTGTAGTTCAACTTTTAATGAAATATTTTTAAAAAATATAGATTCTGCAGAGGTGTTAAAAATCATAAATAGTTTAAAGGATGACTCCTCGGCAGGATTTGATAAAATATCAGTTAAGACGTTAAAAAGAATATMTAAATTTATTGTAAATCCTCTTACGATGTTATTTAATGAATGCTTAAAACAAGGAATTTTCCCAGATATTTTCAAATTAGCTATAGTTAAACCTTTATATAAATCAGGAATTAAAGAAAATTTATCAAATTACAGACCAATATCATTACTTTGCAATTTTTCTAAAATATTAGAAAAAATAGTTAAAAGTAGGCTAATTATATACCTGGAAAAAAACAATTTGATATCAAAAAATCAATTCGGTTTTCAACCAGGAAAAAGTACAACTGGGGCGCTTTATGAGACAACCAAATTTTTATATAATGAACTCGATAATAATAAAAAGGTATTAGCGGTTTTTTTAGATTTGGCAAAATCCTTTGATACAGTTGACCACAAAATACTTACTGATATCCTTCCAGGAATAGGTATACAAAATGAAAGTTTAGCTTGGTTCAAAAGCTATCTAAACAATAGAAAACAAAAAGTATCTATAAATGGTATACTTAGTAAAGAAAACACAATATCTTTTGGTGACCCTCAAGGCAGTGTTCTAGGTCCCATATTGTTCTTAATATATATTAACGATATTTGTAATTTAGAATTAGACGGTCAACTTGTTTCTTATGCAGACGATACATGCTTACTATTTTCAAGCAATACATGGGATAATGTCAAACGTAAAGCAACAGCAGAAGTTAACAAGGTATTTATTAAGTTGTCTGAAAAAAAACTCACTTTAAATATAGGAAAAAGTGTTTTTATTGCATTTTCTATAACAAATAACTATATACCAATAGATAAAATTATTATACACTCCTGTGACACGCAAAATGTCTTCTTAACTTCCTGTAACTGTCAAAAAATAATTCGCGTAACCAGAGTAAAACATTTAGGTTTAATCATTGACTGTTTCTTACGATGGAATATACATATAACGGACTTAACTATGCGTTTAAGATCTATTATTTTTAAATTATACACTCTAAATAGTTTTAATAGTATTAGTAAAAATATTAGTATAATATTAGTAAAAATATAAACGTTGTTTTTCTTCTCTTCGGCGGTTAAAAACATGGACAAGAACAAGAATGGGAGAGGACAGATTAAATGGTCTTGCTTTAATTCACACTCATAAAGATATAGAAATTGATATTGAAGATGTAATTAATATTTTTCTAAGTCATCAAGAAAATTAAATTTTGTGTTATAAAAATGTATTTATTATGTAAACTATCTATACAATATATATATAATATATAAGTAATATGTATATGTATATAAATTATAAAATAAGAAAAAAAATTATGTGTATATTAATTATTAMTTTTTGGAARCAGCCYCKATATTTACGTCTATGAAATACTACTSCCCCCCCGTTATTTTTGGCTGGATCCGCCCCTAAATAACACAAACCTTAGTCTTATAAGATTGTTCAACTAGGTGAGTTTTTGGGTTTTAYAATGAGCAGAAACTTGATTCTTTCGAGTAAATTATTAACCACAGTTATCATAACTGTAACAGTTTTCAAGACACTTTTTATCTGTGCCATATTTTATTATTTTTTTTCCAACTCATGACCTAGGAATTTTATTTTCATGTCCATATATACATTTTTTATTTAAACTCACATAAATGTAAAATCAACACATTCATAACATTAGTCAAAATCTAAAATTGCTCTGACCTAGTTTATATTCAGTCAAATTTGATAACACAATAATATGTGAATTTCATGTAATATAAAATACAGTAAGGATTCGATATTAGTAGTATTATTATTATATAATATTAGTAGATATTCTATGTTACATGAGTTACATCCAGGTATACCATGCTGAAAACTTCCTATTAAACTATTCAATCTCGTTAGGTAAAAAATTATTTATGCTACACTACTTGAGTAACATAGTGACACGGTACGCAGCAGCAGACAGTACAAAGTACAGGCACCGCCGCGACCGGTCTACAACTTTATCAACCACCACCACGGGTAACAACGACGCAACACCGTCGACTCTTCCTCCACGCCGAAAACGCTAGGCGGGACGGGAAGACAAGTCGCGCTGGACGAGTACCGCCGTACCGGCCGTCGGCCATCGTCAACTTTTCGTCCGACCGTTGCGACCATAACTCGACGATACTCACGCGCCACCGAACGATCAAGTGTCATAACGCGTACCCACCATACCTCTTTTGCATTCTTTTGTTCTTTCACTTTTCTGTACTCTGTACCCTGACAAAATAAAGGATAGTGGCATCGTGCAAACTGAGTGTTTTCTTTTTTACTCAACCAAACAAAGATCCGGCAAACCACGTTACTTCAGCGACCGACTTTCCGCGGACCAATAGATAAGGAAAATTAATACTTAAAGAAGATTTATGTACATTTATAAATACGAAAAAAGTCCCTTAAAAAATAATATAAAAATTTTTTACCTGATTTTCTTTTTCTTCTTTTTTTAAAAACTTCAGAAAATTGTCTATGCGTTTATCCATCTGAATAACAAAAACAAAAAAAGCATATAAGTAGGTGACGTTCTGCTGTACAGCAGATTACAAGTGGGTGGGTCGCTGTAATGTAGAGTCAGCTAACCGTGGGCTCGTGGTTGATATGACATTCATTGTATTATCTGTAGCCCTCATTGCAAATTTATAATTTGAATAAAAATCATGAACTAAGATGGTATGGGATGGAAACTGCAGATTAAAAAGTTGTTTAGATAACTTATTAAATTAATAACCTTATCAGCTATGAACTAAATTTGATACAACTATACATTTTCGTTTAAAATAAAATAAGCTATATTCAAATTGTGACCCGGGAATTTTTATATTTATTTTTGGTCCTTGATATAAACAAAATTGCTGATTTCCGCTGTAATGGATTGTGTTAAATTTGAATTTAATGACATAATAGTTAATACCATTGTATAYGGCAAATGACAGCATTGTCAGTTAGCTTAATCAAAGAGGTGATTGAACATTTTTATTTGATAAAATACAATCGCGATACTAATGGCCTACTAAGTATAAATATATAAAAAATTATGTAATCAATCCCATACAAAATATATCAATAACGTAAACCAGATAAACAGCCAACGGCTGGAAAGTTACAATCAAATATGTCATATTAATATCAAGATCTTAAACGGTGTTACTTTCAAATAAATTAATATTGATTATACATATAGAACCTACGCTAGGCTTACGAACTGTAATACATATTAGTTGCTACAAATAGGGTTGTCAACTTTCAAAGTTAGATATTAAGATATTTTTTTTCAAATCCAATTTATACCTCAGTTTATGGACATAGTCAAGATTTTGTTAGTGGTGGTGGAAAGGGGTGGTCAAAAATAAAAAATAAAAAACCATCACCATATTAATTATTATATTGGTTAAGTTGTAAACAATTCCCATTCTCCATGGGCCATTGCTACGGCTCTGCATAGATTAGTAGCAATACTGCAACCAACAGTTATGATTTAACGATAACTTAACGAAAACATCTAAAAAAAGAAAAAGATATTTTTCAATCTATTGAGCAATGTCATATTATGGTGATTTTTCCAATTATAAATGTGTTTATTAATATAACGAACACTTCCTGTTAGCGTCACTTTTTCAGAGTGGAGCTTTTCAACACTTCACAGGTTGTATATTAAAATAAGTATTACAATTTTACTTGACATCAATATCATTGTTCTTTGGTGTTAAAAAAATGTTTATGCTTATGTTATATTTTCTGCTTTCTTTTTGCTTACTTCACTTTTGCTTACACCATATAATATATTTTTGCATAATGGTCCTTAGTTTGCTTTCACCTAATTGCTTGCCGTTTAGTTCATGATTTTTAAATTAAAAACTTGGTTAAGGAACCAAATGGGGCAAACTAGATTGACTGGACAGGCATTAATGCATGAGCATAGAAATATAGAATTAGATATAAATAATTGACCAGTTTACAAAAAGCAAACGAAAATTGATTTTATTGAATAGCTGTACTTATATATTCTTATTTTATAATTTATTAATTCATTGTTTGTACTTAATACAATTTTACTTAATTATATTAACATTATTAACAACACTAAAAATTATACATACATTAAACTATTAAAGSTGAAGAATTTATGAAACGATAATTTTTACGTAAACTTATTTGTAATGTAGTCGCATTAGAAAAAAATAAAACTAAGTCAGTAATATTGACTTATGTTCGCTCAAACTATTGAAAAATACGCATAGGGTAATAATTGATTAAAAAAAGATTCGCACCCCCTCTCCCTAGAAAACTGTCAAGGTACGCCTCTGGAATTAATACTAACATGTGTTCCACATAAGTAGTAAAATATGACAATTGCACACATTTTACGGCAAAAATAATTTCACAATTATTATTAGCTTTAGGAATCTAAAAAAAGAGAGAGAATAGCTTACAAGCCAACAAGGCAAAGACAAGTAGAAAGACAAAATCAGGTGATAATAGATATAATAGCACCATGCGTTGCAGAAGGTGAAAAATGGACAGATGTTTTATCGATTGCATTGCATGTATATAATACAGCCGATTCAACGGGATATACTCCCTTTTATTTAGTATATGGATGGACAAGCCTCTTTCAAGTTTTGATATCACAATCATTTCATTAAATTTAAATCATTCTACAACTATAGAAATATAAAAATTAAATTCAATACGTGAAAAATTGCCCGATATTTTACAGAAAGCATTTGATAAGCAAAATTGTTACTTGGACAAAGAGAAATAGGGAACAGTATTTTTAATAATTTAATAAATTAAAATGATAGATTGTATTCAATCAATAAACCTGTTGGCGCTGAAAATATGATCACGATATGCTAATGAGCGCGGCTCGCGGCAACGAGGAATGTTTTATCGGTCTGTCCACTCTTTCCCGTCTTCCCCGCACACCACTCCGTCTTTTGTGTTTTAATTGTCAAATTATTATTACCTGTGTATTATTAATTCTCTTTGTTTATATGTGATAATCTCTGTGTTAAATTAATGGTCGGCTTTTGCCGTACGATTATTATTTTATTACCATATGTTCCTATCAATTTATTATTATTATTATTGCCATATTCTGCGGCCAACGCCCTTATTATCTGTAATTATTACCCAACAAAAACACTACGCCAAACTCCATGTAAAAAAAAACGCTCAGTATAAAAAAAAACCACCTCAAAAAGTTGTGATATCATTTTATAGCTATGTATTTAAACTATATAGGAATAGATATATTATTATAATTTATGTTAAAATGCATTGCTTGTAAATTGAACTTAGCTGGTGACTTTAAAATTATAACACTTAATTAGTAATTTATAACAATTAATTTATATAACACTTAATTAGTATCACTCATTTTCTAAGATAACATGTATACTCAATACGAAATGAATTCTCATGAGTTTTAAATAATGTCACCAGCTAAGTTCAATTTATATGCAATACATTTTAACATAAATTATAATAATATATCTATTCCTATATAGTTTAAATACATAGCTATAAAATGATATCACAACTTTTTGAGGTGGTTTTTTTTTATACTGAGCGTTTTTTTACACGGAGTTTGGCGTTGTGTTTTTGTTGGGATATCACTAATTTTTTTTTATGTTATTATTATTATTGTTGTTGTTGTTGTTGTAATCATTATTATTAAATATTATAATGTCATATATGTATTATTATATATTAAACATTTAAGGTTTTAATTATTTTTTTCCATTAATGTAATGTAAATATCTCCCCCCCCCCACGAGGCCACCGTTCATACTTTATTTGAGTATCATTACACCTTTCCCAATTATTTTGATGCCTTATTAAGTTTGTATAATGGCCCTCAGTCATTTGTTCCCCATGATGACATATAACTGAATGCACTCGATAATAGATTGAATTAATTTTCAATTTTGTAGTTGGAACTTGATGAATCATTAGGTTATTAATTTTATTTTGGAAATTTTTGGACCAGAGTAATACTTGTAGCATTATATATTGGTTTGTGTTTGTTAACTTAATATTTTGGTGATGAGTACAACATGTATTGCAACTAGGACATTGAACTGCATTTATTTCAACTGATTTTGAAAATTCATCAAACAAAGAATGAATGGGTTGTTTTATAGTTATCTCTTGGTATATTAAGATGTACAATATTATTGGGTGTGCTTTGAACTCTCATTGAATAACACCTTGAGCAAGTTAATGTCACGTCAATTTTATGTCTGAAATATTTTGTTATTGAATCATATGTTTGAAATAAAGCATCAACAAACTCGGCTACATCTTGTTGTTGATTATCACTGAAGGGTTGATTAAGACTCCTACGCAAATGAGATGAGTTTAATTTAGTGTTATTAGACGCATACGAAAATGCCAGGTTTTGTAGTTCTGAATAATTAGAACTATTTATTATATCGTTCAAAATATTACCACAATTAAATAATACTTGCAATGTAGAATTAACATAACACGAGATACCATCAGAATTGATAAAACCTGGTACGTCTAGAATAGGCGAATGTTGTGAAACGTCTATGTTTTGAACTATAGTGTTGGAATTTTCTACCCAATTACAATCCGGAATAAAAACATTATTTTTAAAGTTTATTTGAATTGGTTTTAGATTCGACCTATAAATACATCTTAACCTATTGTATTCTTTTATAGCAGCCGTTTGGGAATTAATTTTGCTTGGATCAAAATTAATTAAATATAACCCACTTAACGATGAAACTATCGATAACGCTACATATGTTTGCCCACAAGAAAATATTGTGTTTCCTACATCTATTATACATTTATTTAGTGACATACATTGACTCTTATGAATTGTTATACCGTAAGCAATGCTTATTGGAAATAGTTTTCTAAATATGTAAGCCCCTGGRAAAACTTCAAATTTACCAGTGACGCGTTCAGCATTATGAATTTGAGTTTCAAATTGAACCACAACTTTTTCTGGTTTCAAGTCAAATCCATTTTGTATGCCTACTACTATTCCGATTGCTCCATTCACTAATCCATTGGTGACATCAATATTTCTTAGCAGCATTATTTTACAGTCAACTTTAATAATTATCCGTTTTTCTATTTCGGCCGTCCTTTAAATGTCATTATCAAGACATGATCATTTTTTTGTTGCTTTGGATTTCATGTTAGATTTAATGTCAAAAGAATCAATAGCTTCTAAACATACATTTTCATTTGGCAATAAAGAGAGTTATAGCTTCATTAAGGACTGTKCAATGTTGTTTTGTTGGGAGTAGAACTAAGGTATCTTGTGGCAACTAAATTATTAACTCATTTAGCTCATTAATGATGTCTTTTTTAGTGCTCTCCTTAAACTTTATTTGTTTTGATTTTAAGATGTTTATGTCAGATGAACTTAGATTATTAACCCTCAATCTTTCTAAAATACCTGCATAAATGGGATCATGTTTTTGTCTCATGTTCTGGGTAA